CATAGGACGTGTTGTTTGCTTTCACCACTGTGTGATTCATCAGAACTCTGCTAGTCTAGTAGTCACAGAGCAGTGCAGCGTGCTGCCAAAGGCATCAGCTTGGACACCTTTACACTATAAATTTTATTGACACAACTGTGGTGGCTGTGGCAGGTCTAATAGAGAGAACACCTGGTGAGCATCATCCTGAGCTTGTACAACCATGCAGCTTCACTATGCAAAATTAATAGCTTAGATCTTGGAAGCATCAGTGATGCATCATTACAGCATCACATCTGAGCTAAAAAGCCCAACTTCTCTGCAAGGCTAAATTGCCTCAGATACAGACCAGCATCAGCTCTGATGTTTGTCTAAACAGAAGCTCTTCCATTTGTTTGTTTCTGCAGAGGTTTTTGAGTAACAAAATAACAACTCTACTTGTCTCCAGTATTTAAGGATGAGTACACCTGCAGCACTGCCATCTTTAGATGGTACAGTTGGCTCTAGACTGGAGGTGTGTGCACCTTTTCTATTGCATTCTGTTAAGGTGTCTAAATAAAACGCAGACGTGGCAACCCAGCCAGCTGTGCAAGCCATCAGGAGGTTACACGGTCACACTGGAGTGAAGAACAGGGGAATCATAGTGCCACCCAGTCTCTGGGATGTTTCTTCATTAAGGACTTCACTGGTGTAGCTGTCACTGGACATGTGGTGGTTGTTTAACCTGGCATGCGGCTGAACACCACACAGCTGTTCTCTCACTCCCCCTACCCCAATGGGATGGGGAAAGAATCAGGGAGAAAAAAGTAAAATTAATGGGTTGAGATAAAGACCATTTCATAGGACAGAAAAAGAAGGGGAAATTATAGTAATAATAATAATAATGATAATGATGGTGATAAAATAATTAGAATATACAAAACAAGTGATGCACAGTGCAATTGCTCACCACCCACTGACTGATGCCCAGCCAGTTCCTGAGCAGTAGCCCCTTGCCAGCTTTCCCCCTTATTTATATACCGAGCATGACATTATGTGAGAAGCTGAAAAGTCCTTGACTTAGTGTAAACACTGCTTAGCAACAACTGAAAACATCGGTGTGTTACCAACATTAACCTCATTCTGAATCCAAAACATGGCACTGTATCAGCAACTAGGAAGAAAATTAACTCTGTCCGAGTTGAAACCAGGACATGTCCTCCTGGTGTGGCTATGCTAGGTATACTAGCATCTTCCTGTCAAAAGCAGCATCCTCTGTGAAGCATTTGAGATCTGCATATGGATCTGTGCTACATGGGAATGGCATGAGGTCAGCTCTCATTAGAAGGGAAACCATACCCATTGTTATTATTCCCCAGAGAAAGGAAACCATGCCACTTCCACTAAAATCTGTGTTCTCCGGGGTCCCTGAAGAGAATTTGTGATTAGGCTAATTTAATAGAAGAGGTTTAATTATTTGATACCACACAAAAAAAAAAATAGAATTAGTGACTTTTGCATCCTTTCCAAACATGACATTTCCAAGCAGGTCTGGAATGGCAGTCTCAAAGGACTGGTGCAGTCCCCGGCACAGCCAAAGGACAACTTGTTGCTAAGCAACCAATGTAAGTGCACTGCTCAACATTTATTTCATTTGGAAAGGGACATACTCTTTAAGTATTTTATCTTAGCTACTGAGCACAGTTTCCCGCTTGTTTTTCCAGCGCAGTGCACATGTGTAAAATATCCAATTTGCCCAAAAAAGGGAGCACTTTAAAGAGTAGATGACAGAGAGGAACGTGCAAAATGGAAGGTCTGAAAAACTGACACAAGTATTTTAGCCCTTTCTAACATCAGTGTCCTGAGTGTGCCTCTTTGTTTCTGGGTTCATCCTACTTGAAAACAGGCTGCCTTGATAGTATGTATGTGGCAGAGCTTTCTGCAGAGTTTACCAATGGTTGTTGATGCACCCTCTGTAGAAGAATGCTATCATGGTTTGCCCATTGATACAAGGAAATATTTTCTCCCTGGTAAACAGAAGCCAGAGCTAGACGCTGACTTTCCAGCCTGAACACTCCAAATCTCAGATTCTGTAATTGTTTCAGAAAGGCAGCTAAATAGCTTTGGAAAAGAGCATTTAATGCTCTCTCTACATCTAACACTGCTTTTAATTTAGTGCTTGGCCCTATAGTGAAGTAAAACCCTACGGTTTTGCAGACCTGTATCTGAAATCAGCCCTGGCCTGAATAGTCACTAGCTAAGTTGTCCTGAAGAAGTGATTCATCATGTTTCCCAATCTAAAACCACACAAATAGGAATAAGATGATGCACAAAAAAAAAATGGAAATATGGTCAAAATCAAGAATGCTGTTTGGTTTCAAGTGGCCATAATAAATGCTTGTTTTATTGCAAGTGATCTTAAAGATGCATATACCATGCATAAGTGGCATGCCATCTTAATGTCTGTCCCATCTTAATGCATGGAGGGGGCTACTGTTGGCTTTGTATCCATTTTAGTTCTCTGTCCTAGCAGATGTAGCAAGTACATTCATTGATCTCTTATTTTTTTTCTGACCAGCTTTGTGGTCTCATCCAAATGCTCTGGTATTTAAATTATTTATGGGCAACCCAGGAATGGCTACAACTCAGTCCTTATATGGGCCCACAAATGGTAAAATACAACTTTCTGTTGCCCCAAATATTGCACATGTGAAAGTTTCAATCTGGTCACGACCTCCTGCCTGACAGATAGCACATTGAATTTAAGCTCAGCTCTGTCTGACACAGCTGCAGGTTTTCCTGGCTGCTGTTGGCAACTCCTGCACCTCTGTGTCACACTCCAAAAATCCGCAGCTGGGTGGAGACAGACAGCAAGGGCCGTGCTGAAAGCCATCGTGTTCCCTAGGACACAAACTCGGCATAGACCCTGAGAGGCACTTTGTCCAAAACATGGGTGAAGGTGTCCTGTTTTTCAAAGCCACACACTCAGAGTAGGTAGGGTGCCTGGGTAGCTGACAATGCTTTGTTGGACACCACTGACAGTCCTTATGGACAGATGTCTTACTGTCCCTTTGATCAAGTGTAATGGATACAAGCTTTGCCTTTGACTTGTATGGCTTCCAAATGATGGATCTTGTTAAATGAAATGCAGCGTGGGAGTACTGCACTGTTTGCAAGCTAAGCTGTCTTGGGAGCAGCAACTAACAACTCCATCTTTTTTTAGAGCTGAGAAAAGTAAAGCAGTGTTGAAGAAATGCTGCTGATCTCTGCATGGTAGCCTGCAGCTATGGTGACTTAAGAGAAGAAACAAGGTGTCTGAGACTATTCAGATACACACATCTCTTCCTCCCCCTCTCCATCGCTAGTACCTCTGCTTCCTATGCGCAAATAGGGCATTGCCTTCTTCCTTGGAGGACTCACCCTAACTCTTTGCCTTGTGTCTATGGATTCACAGGATCCATGACGCAGAGCTGAATTAATGCTTCTTTCTTGTCTCTGCTGCTGTATGTGCAGGAACGTTGCTTGCCCACAGGCTAACACTGTAGTGCTAGAACATGTAACATAGCTGTCACATTGGGGAGCAAGAGAGCAGATGAGCTGCTTAACCTGGCAGCCTGGACATAAGAGATGGGTTTTGATTTGGAGATGGAAGTAACTGCTATTTTCAGTCCCATTGTTTTGATCAGTTAAAGTGAGTTCTTGGCAGTCTTGCCATATTTAGGGAGTAGTTTCCCAAATCTGTTGCTTCCTGTTTCTTTTGGACATTCAGTCTTCAGTGATCTCATGTTGTAGAGGACCACACTTCCCCTCACAAGGAGCTGACTTGAAGAATAAACTGTTAAGAAGGTTAACTGACCAAACCAGAAGCAGACTTGCTTAATGAGTGAACAAGAAAGGAAATTAACTAGAGTCCATTTTTTTTAATCAAGTCCAAATAAAGCAACAAAATCAGAAAAAAAAAGATTAAACAAAACAGGCTATTTTTTTTTCAAGTTGTTTTACTTCAACTTGCAATATTCACAGCAGGATTTAGTTTTGAAAAAGTCAGCCTTTTTCACTAGAAGAATTAATCAAGGAATGATTAATTTGCTTCTCCTTGCAAGAAGACACCATATGAGCATCATGCATTGTAATAAAACTATAGAGGACGAAATTATAGAGAAAAATGCAGTACAAATTAAAGGGAAGTGTATCTTAAGGAAAGAAATGTAATATTAACTTAGTAAAGGGCAAAAAATGAGATCTAGTTTCACAGAAAATCTGAGGTAGCTCCAGCTAAACTTGGCTTAGGAAGCAGAAACTGTTTGCTGTAATAGCTAGTGAACTCCACTCACATTCATTGCTCAGGTAATCTGAGCCACTCTGCTGACAGATCTGGAGCCAGCTTGAGAGGCTGTGAGCACCAGTATGCAGTAGCATGTGTAAATATCCCAATATTGAGCCAATAATGAGAAGGGGAAAATGATGTGCAGAACACAGATTTGGCTACAATTCAGTATTTTTGTGGGTTTTTTTTTACATAACTTTAAAGACAATGCAAGGGAAAGAAAAGAGAGTAGATGTGGAGGTGTGACTATCTACTGAGGGTATGTTACATGCTTTCTACAAGTTATTTCAGAATCTAAGAGGGGGAAAGGAAGAAATTCAAGTCAGCATGTTTAAGACTTTTATTCCAATTCAATTTTATTGAATGATTTTCAACTGTAAAATGAGTTTGCATTTTATATTCTGTGTAAAATAAATCCCTTTGTAGTGCCACTATAAACATACAGTTTCCCTTTGCCCTCGGTCAGGTGTAGTTTATGCATTAACAGGAACTTTCTGTTTTGTTCTTCTGCAGAGCCACTCCTCTGGGATTTAGGCTCCCTGGTTGGCCACTGTACTGAGCTCTCCTGATAAGACAGCAGGTGGATCTGAACAGCAACC